TAAGAGTGCAAAATACCAAACCTTTTTTTCATCATTAAAATATTGTAAATTAATAAATTCATATGTGAAAAAACCAAATCGCGTACTTAGTTCGTTTAAATTAAATATTGCATTAAGAAAATATTAAGCATTTGTAATAAAATTTATAAATAATAGTAATAATAAATAAAACAAATAAAAAACATGTTTTCGTGGCTAATTCATATTGTAATGATCATCCTTGGATTCTTAATTGCAATTCATTTGCATTCGTAAAACATTATCGGCTACCAAAAGTAAAATTGGGCATATTCATTGTCAAAATTAAGTTGGCACTTAGGTAATTCTCTAGGGTGGGGTAACAACCCCTAAAAAAGGTGCGGAAAAGTCGGAAGGGGTACCAACGACGGGGGGAGCTAATATTATTAACCATTTAAAAGTTATGAACAAACAACTTTTGTTAAATTTCGTTGTTTTCTATGAGCAATTACCACGTCAAAAATGCACTAAATCACCAGTTTCCACTTTTAAAACACTACTAAAACGTTTCCGGTTATTATTTTATGCAACCCAAATCATTTATTCACTTTTATTTTATATATTTCGTTAATAAAACAGAGTGAACAAACTTTGCGCCTGCTAAAATTATTATAACCTCAAATCGCTGGTATTGCCACTTTATTTCACATTTCATTTGCGCTATTATACTCAGTTTACACTATACACTTCTTCTTCTTCTTCTTCTTTTTACTTTCATCTAAATAAGATAGTGTAACCAAAATATAATAGCAAATTTCGCTATACCATCGCGCGATTTTTATTAAAAATTTTCATTATTTATCGAAGTATTGATTTTTATGGAAAAAGCGCCGCAGGCGAAAATTTGTAATAAAAAGTCGCGATTTTTTATTAAAAATTTTCATTATTTATATATAAATTAAACGAAAGATACCGAAAAGCATTGAACAGTGCACACATCTCATAAGGAACAGTGAATTATTACGAAATACTAATACAGTGGCAGCACTATAGCTATTTTGGAATCTCGCGTTTCAGCTCGCAAAGATTGTCAACATTTTTTTAATAACAAAATAATCTATCTTAGGTTGATAAAACTATGTGTTTCTTTAATAAATAAGTTAAATTATATATTTTAATAGTGTTTAAAAAGTGAGAACAGGTGATTTAGTGAATCTTTGTCGGTGTAATTGCCCATAGAAAACAACGAAATTTAACAAAAGTTTTTTTGTTCATAACTTTTAATTGGTTAATAATATTAGCTCCCCCCTCCGGATTGTTATTAGGGGGGCCGAAACGCGTCGTTTGGTACCCCTCCCGACTTTTCCGCACCTTTTTTAGGGGTTGCTAATCCACCCTAGAGAATTACCGGCACTTAAAGTTAGCTGTAGCTTTATTCACGATAACCCAATAAAAATTATCTCAACAAGCTTTAACTAACTTTAAGTCCCAACTTAATGAATACGCCCCAAAAAACCAACCAAAGCAAAAAGAAAAATGATACTATCAATTTTGGTAGAATCTGATCAAAACGGCAGCCCTGCTCGAAACTTGTGACAGCTGGAAAATTGTGACAGATACATATTTGAAAGTAGCATTGGCTTTGTTTATTTTTGCTTCAGCAATTTATTATGTCGAAAAGAAGGTAAATATATTTTGTATCTTCCAAATTGTATTTGAACAATTAATTTGTTGCAGATAATCAGCTGCTTAGCCATAGGGAATGGAGCGCAGAGTATTCGCAGGACAAAATGGTGATGACTATTACTGGCTGATGCAGAAACTTAACCAGAAGCCAATGTATTGAATATAATAATGTGAGTAATTTTATTATTATTTTTTTCGAATAAGACTCAATTCTTTAATATTAATATCATACATTTATATTTTAGGTACGGATCATGAGATAGTCGCGAGTATGCTGTAAAGGATATGACAAAAGTGGATAATAATTAACGCAATCACCAAGATATCCAAATATTTCGAGTTTATAACGATGAAATACATCAAGACAAAGCATCAGTATAATTTATGAATATATGT